GGGGGGGGGCTTCGACCTGAAAGATCAGGGGTTAGGATTTGCACCCGATCGAAAGAAACCTTGCTATCGCAAGAGTACCTCCAGCTAGCTTCGCTAGCTTTCGTGATGAGCCGATTGCGCAAGTCCCCACAACATCCAACACTCAAAGTTGAACAAAGGTTCGCTCTTAGTTCTTTGTGGTTTTACAGTCACCCAAACAAGCGGTTTCACCAATGGACCCGGAGTGACATGGAAGAGGTCTTTTAGGGTTTCCTATGGTCTCCGTTGCCAGGAAGCAGTTCTGGCTTCCAACCGGAAGAAAGGCCGATGTCTTGGATGGTCATGGTGTTGTTCTGACCAGCAAGTGTCAGACTCTGGTGACCTGGTGTATGCGGTATACATCATGGTAAACCGTAGTAAACCGTGGTAAACCCAATTCTTCCAAAACGATCGAAGTCTCCACTCTTGGTTGGATGGATGTTGGTTCCTTGAGGACTTGGTGAACTGACCTTGGCTGCCCTTGTTGGTCCTAGCAGGTAAGGGTTGAAGCCTTAGTGGTTTCGTAAGAAATCCCCTCTATACCAAAAGGACCAAGGGTCTAAGAGTACGTTTGAGGACACTGAAGCAAGGGTCATTATGCAATATACAATGAACAAGAACTTCACTTCACCAAGTCTTCGTCCAATCACCTCGATCCAAACCTACGGTGGATGGACCAAAAGCCCAAATCGATCTTCCCCGAATCCTTGAACCCCTTCCAAACTCCTAATGAATCCTTTGACCCTCATGGGCCCGGATTGCGAGGGCACAGTGCTTTCACCACGACCACGCGAAGCCCTCGATGCTCCGCGAACCCAAAAAACGCGAGAAGAACCGGCGCGTGGCGCAACGCGACGGTTGTCGCGCTACGAATGGAGCCCAGCTGTCGAATTGAGCGCAGCGCCTGCAGCGCTACGACCTGAGTGGCTTTGGTGTCTAGACCCTGAAGGGCTTCGGTATCTAGATGCCCCCCCTTTCATCATCCATCTGGCAGCTTGTGTCGCAAATCCCACGGTCTCCTATACGCCCTATCCCTGCATAAATCCCAAGCCATTGGCATCCACCCTCTCTTCCTCTCTCTCTCTCTCTCACTCTCTCTCCCTCTCTCTCTCTCTCTCTGTCTAGCTGCCTCACAGCTGTTGCGCAGGGACACTCTGACGCGCAGGTTGCCCGCCCTAACCGACTTAATAGGTCCATCAATCCTAATCCAGGTCCCACCGAATTGCGGTGTGCTTGCCAAAAGCGCCCAACAATGTATATAAAGGCATGTTGGGAGAAGAATAAGCAACAAAGCATGAATCTGACCCTCCAAGGAGCCATCTGACCTCCAACCGCTGCCACCGTCAATAGATTCAGGCTGTGCTGATTGAGATCCGCCCTCAAACTGCTGGCGCACCTCAGGCGGCACCGGGCGCCAACAACGGCCCAGAATCCAGTTGACAGCTCAAAAGGGGTGGATTACAGCAACCAGCTCCTCAAATTCATTTAACAAAACATCCATGGACAGCACAGGACAACACTGAAACAAAGGGTTCTTTGACAGTTCGTGATCAATTCGCTCCAAACGTTGAGCATCTTCTGCACAGGGACCGTAACCATAAGAAGCACCTCACCACCCTGAGCCGAGCATCTGTAGGAGTTGTGATCATGATCTTCTCCCCCCCCAGCCTTACTGCTATAGACATAGATCTGACCTCCCTTACTGCTATCCCGCCAGCCGTCGACGCGCGAGTTCGTCCAGGTCGCAGGAACATCAAGGCAACGCCAGCCAAGGCGGAGAGTATGAAGGGCCAAACATCCTCCCCGTGGCAAGGGGCACAAGTACCATCCTCTTGCGGATAGTGGTTCACCTAGCAGCTCACGAGTGAATGGGTCTGCGAGTCTGACCAGGGCATCTGGGGAAGCTGCCACGATGCTCCGCCGCGCTAGTGCTAGATGAAGAATAAGATGCTAGAACATACATTTATTTATTACACAATCAACTGCATGCTGCATAAGTAACAAAGTTTACAGGATGCTCATGCCGGGCCTAACTCTTCCACATCTCTTCCAGGTCATGCTGATTGCTTCATGCCTGACTCAACGGCGCTCCTCCCCAAAAAACATTATGCACCACCAATTCCGCTCCTTCGATCACACACCTGTCGCCTGTACGACCACGCCACGTGGTTCCCGACAACAACGCACATGTTCCCGTGTCGTGCACGCATGCGCCGCATGCTGCGCGGACCCGTCCGCGCCCTCGGCACCTTGCAGTTGTTGCAGGCGATGCCCATCCGACCAGCAGCACATGCACCCAGTTCGAGCCCGGGACACTGCAACCCGCTGCGGCAGCGGAGGACCTGGAAATCGCCTAGGCACGAAGAACTGAGCGGTGCGGCACCGGCGTGGTTGATCAATGCGTATGGCTTTCGGTTCTATCCAGGCAGGTAGTGCCAAGATTGACCACAGTTCCAGTGTTCCACAAAACCTGGTTAGTTGATTGAAATTGTATTGAAATGTCGTATCTTTGGGAGACTGCACCTCTTCCTTCTTTGGCTCAGGATTTCTCAAAAAGAACATGTGCCCGCAATCATCATTCAAAATCCATTTGATTTGTGCCTCCATCCCAATCCCCTCAGAAACACGTCTCCTTCCCACGAGGGAATGAGAAGAGTTGGAGTCCAGGAGGACATGAACGGGAGATGCCGGAAAGGGTCGTGGTCCCGAAACTAGCAACAGGCTTCAGCCATCTTCAGCTGATGTTGCGGAGGATCCATGTCCATCAGAATGAAAAGCTTTGGAATGGCATAGCTGGCAAATACTGGCAGTCCACGGGGCACAGGACCACTGGGACCATGGGTAGATCTATCCCTGACTCTTGCCCTGGCGCCAGTCTAGTCACGAATGAAACACCTTGACCAAGGCACCCCATGGATGCTCACGGGCTCATGATGCCGGTTTCTAGATCCTATGGGTGAGGAGGACAAAGGCCCTAAGGCACCTAGGTAGGGGATCCTCAGGGATTGTAGGGCCGATAGGGGAGGTGTCTGCATTCAGTTGCCCAGAAACATGGTGCCTCCCCGGCCTGTCAGCCAACTAGAGTCAGCCATGCCGACCCTCGGCTCATCAAGCCACTCTTCAAGAGCAATCAGTTACACCGAGTTTCCCCGTTAAGCGTTTGGCACTCATGGAAAGACGCGCATGGAGTAGTTGCTACCCAGCAGCAGGTCTCTGCGGCTTCGGCCCAATAGCCAGGCTCCTGCAGTGGTGGGTCCAAGCCAGCCATGCACTCCAAGCCCATGGGGCACTCACGGCAGCCGCGAGCTGCACTGCTCACGGAGCTGTGATCTTAGGTGCCAGCGCCAACGTCAGCGAGCTCGCTTGACACGGACTGGAGGACTCCAACGTTGACGTGAGTGAGTGTCCCGCGGGACAAAACCATCAGATGGCCGCTTCATGGTGGTGCGTCTCATATGGCTGCTGCATTATAGATTTGGTCCTTTTTGGTGGTGGATGTAGACCATATTTGTGTATATTTGCGTAGCTCCAGGGATCTGGACTGGGTCGTGCTGGTCCGGGGGGTCCAGTGGGGTCCAGGCGGTCGGTCTGTGTATATGGCCAGGAATAGCGCCGTGGACCATACCCTGCAACACGCTATTCTTTAAGCAACATGATGGACCCTTGGTGCAATCTGAAAACACCACCGGCTGGCCACAAAGCTACTCACAAAGCTCTATCAGGGATTCCACATTGTGTGGATCCACAAATGCGTTGCCACGAGTACAACATTTGGTCTCTGGATGATGCACCACCAGTACACCACCTCGTCGAATCAAACGAGATCGGATCATTCGAGTGGCTGCACATGAAGGAGGCCCTGGCACACTGGCAATCCGAAAGGCTCTGCGATCCCTGCTCGGCGGTCACTTGCCCAAGTTCACCTTAGCATCCATCCCCTGGAGGACTCTCTGGAGGACTCCACGCGTGAGACTCCGGGCAGAAGATTCTTCACCGAATTTATGGTAAAGGAAAGAGATGTGCCCACCCCCAAAGGATCTATATATTATGAGATCAGATTTGCAGCTCGTTGGAGCTGGCACGAGTCTCCCAAATGTCCGGAAAAACGCAGCTCCAAAGATGAGCCACCAACACGTTTGGCCTTCGGTTGGCCTGGTGGTGCGTGAATACGTCTAATTTCTTGAAGCCAAAGCAGCTTATTAAGTTATATACTGTATTACACCGATGTCGACCCGCTGTGCATTGAACATGGCCCGCAAAGTCCACCAAGATGCACGGTAAACAGGCCGCAGATCCGAAGGAGGGCTGGTAGGTGCCTGCAGGAATCATCGAGATCGAATCATTTGGGGCGCTGCTGGGTGCTGGCGCTGGGTGTGTTGGGGAGTTCACAAGCTCCAAGACCATCTTTGATGGACCTAAGAAGTGTGTGGCTCTTCTTTTCACGTGATGCCAACGGCTCCGAATACCAGGCTCCTCTACTTGTTTTTCCAGTGATCTGGGCCAAATCTCTACAAAATTGATCAGATTATTTAAGACTCCTCACAGCTGCCATGGTGAAAAATGATCCACCCAACAAGTCAGCTACCTGGAGCTTTTCGCTGTGACCCCAAGTTGGACCAACTCATTTGGACCAAAATCAGTCACCGCTCTCAAAGCCGATCCAAAACTCTGGCCCAAAGCATTCCGCCTTGTGCGCATTTCTTGCATGACTCTTGGCCCTGCTCTGCATAGAACCTGCTGGATGGGACTTGGAGAATCCCAAACCAAAACCACACCCCGACACAGCTCCGGCACCGAACCATGCACCATATGGGGGGGATCATGGGGGATCTCTTTTCGACACGGCCAACTCTTGGAGGACACACTCGAAGAGTTGGCGGTTGGTCACCGGAAGATAGTGCCACTCACCGTGTTTGATAGGTTCTTGGCTGACCCACCACGAAAAAGGGCGTGGGAAAGGCGAAGCACTCCTCGCCCGAACGGAGAGTCTGCACTAGACCCACCAGGGAGATTCTGCCCAAATTGATGAAACAAGGGCAAGGGATGGCAAGGGTAAGTGGTGTCCTGACCAAGAAGTCGATCGAATTCACCAGAGCAGCGAAAAGCACCAAGCCAACACCCACCTGCTTTAAAAGTTCACTGTCAATACCTCTCCCACCTGAAGGCAGGCACAACCTGCTGCTGCCTTCAAATTTGCTGCCGAAACCGGACAGTCCAAGAAACCCAGGCAAGCATGAAGCGCAGCCGATGGAGCCCACATCTTCCGCAAAGCTCCCCGCATCGCATGGGAGGCAAGAGGTCAATCCTCACCGTGGAAGCGATGGAAGCGAAAGCTCACTGCCACCCTCTGACTCCCTGAGTTCGCTTGGTTCATAGAGGCTAACCACTAGGCTAACCTTGTTCCACCTATTCTTGCTTAGAGATCTTCAGAAATCTCCACGTTCAAAAAGGTAATCATGGTTGTGTATAGGAAGTGGCCGCCCATCCCAATTCGTCACCCCAATTCGTTACCCAAATCTGCGCCTATTCGTTGTTTTTGGAGTGGCTCCACCGGGCGGTTTCTGAATCGGCAAAGGTCGTCCATCGACGCACGTTTACGGATCGAATTGAATGTTTGGGACATGTTATATGGTGTCTGGCAGAATGAAGTCACTTAATTAGGCCTTGAAAAGGTCACGTATACCAATCCTGAAGAGGTCACGAACGGAAGATCCGGGTGGAGGCCTTTTTCGAGCAAAACAGACAGTCCATGACCGTCCTGTGCTCGAAGAAATCCATCCCCCTTGCGTCCGCCCTTGCGTAGCCGTCCGGTGGCCGGAAAACCCCTGTCCTGTGACATTGCTGAAGAAGCCGCGAGGACACGGCTCCTTCGACGCGTGATCTGCACCGCAAAAGAAACCCACCTCGCAAGGGATGCACCTCAGGCAGCTGCGGACTGTCAGCTTGGAACCCAAGTGCAAGCTACTCCTCCTCTCAAGACCGGGCGAGCCGTCTTCAATAGCTTTGGATGACGTTTAATACATGCGTTACAGGTCAAGCGCCCCACAACACAACGACCGATCAAAAAATGATCTGAACACATCGCAGGATAAAGAGCTGAAACGCCCCGCCCCGCAGCTGCAACCACGATCTAGGTGCATCATCCAAAGGTCTCTGAGGCAAGCAATGGGGCGTCACCTGTCGCAAAAACTAATTCCAAGACCGTGGTGCTGGTTCACCTGGTCCTTGTAGAAGCCAGGGCTGCAAGCAGTGAAGACTGCTGGGGCTGTGGCTGAATACTGGCCTTGCGCGTAGGACAACTCCATTCATCCAGGAACTTCGGCGGATTTTAGGCTTATCCCGCTACCAACAAAGCCCCTCCAAATCAAACCGCGCGCGTGCTTGTCAAAAAGCCTGGACAACAACTACAGTAAGGGGGTCCAAGACTCTTGAGACTGCCAATGACAGCCGAGTAGCCAGTCATCCAATAGAGATGACTTGTGATGTCCAATTCGTTGGTGCCTGCATCAAAGGCCCCCGCCAGTGTCCAAGCGCGACCAGTTGCGTTCGAAGCGTTGGAGGCCGGCGGCCAATAGAGGAGCCTCGGGAAACGCACGAGGAAACTCTTCGGGCGGTGCTGGGGCGGCCTTCCCAGGCAAGCAAGCCCTTCCAGCGTCCGATTATCTGCGAAGTCCGTTGTCCCTCATTTGGCCTTCGTTCGGTTGTCTCAATGCTCAGTGCGTGAAAGGAACATGTATCAATGAATGTATACAACCATTCTCCGGTCAAAGCGGCTAGACCAGGCCAGAGTGCTGTGCCTTAACCGCAGTTTGGAGGTCCAGCATCACCTGCTTGAGAAAAACATCCCAAGTACCCTGAAAGCACTCACATGGACCCTGAAAACCACTGGCTGCTGATTACGTCATGCTTCTATGTCCAGTTTTTGTTGAGTCAAGGTGTGCAGTCCAAGCATCGTCTCCTAATGAATGACCTGGGGTGTCACGTGTTGCTTGGGCTTTGATCCACACCACCATTGGCCTGCCGTCTGAGAGGCTGGTATGCTGTTTGCCGGTTGCCATTCTGATCGAAGCTCACCTGACAAGTCGGAGCCAAAAAGAGAGGGGATGAGAGGGGTTCATGTGGAGTTTATGAAGAAAACGCATGTTGCGCCCAAACTTGTTCACAAGCTCACGTAATGGAAACCTAGGGAAAAGAGTGAGTTCGAATGAGCAGAGTTTCACCCATCTGCCATGGGAAGATCAAGAACTCGAATTGGATCTTGAAACTCTGCTTCTACTTGCGTCTGCAGCCCAAAATGCAGTCCAACTGATCCCAACTCGGATGTTCTCAAAGGGGGGCCCAAAGGAATCCAAAGGAAACCACCGATTGGTCCTAAATGCGCATACGAGTACAACAATACATATGCTCTGAGTGATTCTCTATTGGGGGTTCTCTGGGTTCACCAAGGCACCGGCACCTGCACCTCAACCAGCCATTTCGGCAACAGATTTCTGTGGAGGTGTTGCGCATATCCGCCGCATTGCCTGTAAGAGTGGATGATGGTTAGTGCGCAACAGAAAGTAAAGGTAAACACCTTCCCAAAATGATAATTGTTTTATGCTTAATAACTGTTGCTGGTAATGGACACACCCTACCGAGGTGCATGTCCAGAGATGCCCTCAAAGTTGGTCCTCTTCACCTGCGCCAACAGGATCTCACCTTAGATTTGCTTGAGGTACTGGAAACAACTAAAACATCTTCCCACGCCAGGGATTTATATATAGTAGGAGCAAGGACGCTACTAGAGGCTCCTGGCCGTACTACTAGGAGCAAGTAATAGCTACTAGGGGCTCCTGGCATCGCTACTAGGAGCAAGGACGCTACTAGGGGACAACATGGGAAAACATTAAGAATCACTTGAAGCAAAACCAGGTCACCCTTGATCTCCGACGCTGGCACTCCGTCATTGAGCAGCGTATTGATCGCCATCTGCACATCACAACGCCGCAAATCGATGTTTGATGTCTCAACTCCCAACGGGCTGGGCGCCACCAACGAAATGAATGCAAACTTGAGGCCTGAAACAGGTTTGGCATATGAGGTGAACAAAGGTGTGGCCGGATCAATTGATTGGTGGTCGACTTCCAAAAAGGGAGTGCTAAGTTTGGAGGTCCCGAACCCAACGTCCGCGCGGAAACCATCACCACGCGAATGCACGACGCATGAAGTGGTCCGAAAACACATCATCCACGTGGCCCTCGTAGTAAGGGGTTAAGAAACTCCCTGTAGCTCCGAACAGCTTCCCGTTTGATTGGGAAAAGGGATGTCCCCCGCTCCTCAGCGAGCTAGCAAAAGCTAGAGTAATTATATTGGATCCACTTTGGGCTGCTCAAACCTGGTCATGACCCCTAGAAAGAAGCAACCAACTGATGGCAACACCGGTGATTTCCCTGCACGAAGTGATCAAGACTGTGGGCCCTCAACCCGCATAATTTTATCATATGCCTTTACAAAGAAGTTCATGGCTCAATGAGTTCCAGCCCTGGTGCCGCTGGAAAAGCAGTTCCATACTAGCGTCCACAAATGTGAAGATCGCATCAAAGAGGAACGACGAATAAGCCGCTGGAGAGCCACTCTCCTCAGCTGAACTCCCCTACATACCGCCCTCAGAACTTCTGGCTTTCTGGCTTTCTGGCTCAAATCCCAACAAGTATGTTGGCAAACTGGGGGTGCGAGGTGGTTTGTCTTTGTGATCCTTTAGGACGCCCCAAACTCTGGATTGATTTGTCTTCGCTTCCGGGTCATTCTCGTACGAGAGGCCCACACCCCCAACTCTGTACACAGTCGCATGTTTTGAGGATGTGAGCATCACCTACAAGATGTTGCTGCACTTTGGAGCAGTCTTTGCCCCAAACCCTTCAGATCTGCTTTGTTGGGGATGCGGGACATCCAAAAGGAAGCCAATACTTTCAAAAGTTCTCAGCTGGGGAACGAAGTCCGCATCGGTGATGGGAGCAGATCGAGCCTCGTCCAGGGGCACTCGGAAGTTGTCCTGGGAATCGGCGAACTCAAATCCCAGGATCTGGTAACACCATTTTATAGATGCATGGAATCCCCATTCCATAGACCATCATTCAACGAGGATGTCTTAATAGATTTGAGCCAGGAGGAATATGCAGGGGGAACACATCGGATCACATGCCCATGTGCAAGGGCTGGAGGGCGTTCCATGCCCTTCCACATAAACATAGTATTGAATCACCTTGCAATTGACTGCCCAAAGTAAAAATGGACAGCAGGACAAGCTTCCGGGGCATATGTTCACTGCATTGAACGGTCAGTGAGACCTGAAAAGTGCACAAATACCCGTCACATGTATATACACATGCACTGATCTCAGAGTAGATGGCACGCAACTCCAAGGGATTTACAGCGGTTTCAGAGTCGATGGCACTGGCAAACTGGCACGGGGTCCATTTTCCAACCCAACTTGGAGGCCCAGCCGTGCCTATTCTGAAACCGCTGTCCGACGCCCTCGACCATCAACGAATCGTCGCCGGGTGTCAATCTGAAATCGCTCGCGAGCAGCCGTGGAGGTGACGTCATCTGCTCTCAGCTTTCTCCAAAGCTGCAAGAAGGTCTCATATTTGGGTCCCTCACTGACCGGATGCCTCAAATGGTGATGACAAACAAGGAGAAAGAAACCAGGTGAAAAGTAAAAACTGCATGTGAGTCTGAGTCTAGAGATGACTTTTGAGGCCACATAATATCAGCGCCCCAAAAGGATTCACTGTTCTATTTTTGGGGGGGTCGCTACTAGCGACGGTACAGGTTGCTTTTTCCCTCCTCTGCATGCTATAAAGCGTTCACCGCAAGATCTACAGTAACAATCGCTTGCACCAACTTTTCCATCCATGGCCCAACTTCTCCATCTTTCTGGTATCGTGTCGATGGTTGAACTAAAACATGCCAAACGGAAGACATATATATGCAAATTATGAGCTACCTTTTTGTGAATTGCTCACGTTTGGTTTTGGGGGAGGTAGAGTGGGGTGACGCCGAATGCGAGATGAAGAGGAGGGGACCGAACGCAGAGCTTGCAACACCTCATGGAAGGCGTCAAAACGTCCCAGAAATACAAGGTCCACGTTGGGAAGACCGGTGTTGGGAAGCCTGTAGAAACCAAAACAGGGGGGTCCGGCTGGCTATCCATGCTCCCATGGCATTGGAGGTTCTTGAGGGCTCAATGAGCTCCATAGGACTGCCATGTATGCCTACGTTGACCCCCAAACCACCCCAATGTAAGCAAATATGGCATACATGGAATGTCTGGGAATTACATGCATCAGGCTACAGAATATGATTGGCATGTCTGTGATGCAGTGATGCACTACGACAGCATGAAAAAAACGCCGCTTCTGAAACTTCTTCCCAAGCCTGCCACTTTGAATCAAGCCCAGGTTCCAATACATGAACCCTGCTGGCAGTGCACTGGGGTCGTACAATTTTATCGCCTCTGAAGCTAGAATCTGCCACTCTGGAGCAAAAAGCCCCTCTTCTTGCATGACCTCAGGCAGTTCACCCATCTGTCCAGTCCCAAAGAACTATTCTTTATCTACCAGTTCAAAACCCAGCACCAAAACAAACAAAGCCCCGAAAAAATGGTTGACCACTGACTGGGAAAGGTGATGAAAGAATGTGGACATTGCTAGCTTAGGTACGCTCAGCCCCGCACTGGCAACAATTGCCAGCAACATCCAACGTTTAGGGACAATTCCTCATATTGTTGCATATACGAGGCCTCCTTGGAATGAATGACCGCGGCGATTCACCGGATATAGACTCAAACACTTCCGAATCGTTCATCCGCTCCGGTTCAATTGGTTCTTCATGGTTCTTCCCTTCAAACCACATGCCCATGTACAGTATACCCCGGTCAGGAACTCTTGGCTCAAATCCCCAAGACTGTCTTTTGGCCAGTCCCAACTAGCTACCACCACTTGGGAAGACTGAGCCAAGAGTTCTGACAGGCCTGACAGGGATGTAACCCAGTCACCGACCTGGAGGAGTCCACAAACCACCGAACTGGCACGCCAATCGTGTCAACCCTGGAAGTATCGGCCCAAAGTCGTCGCCTACATCAAACCATCAAATAAGCTTGGTTGACCTACCACGTAGGTACAAAAGGAGGCCCTCTTCTCAGGGGCCCTTGGATTCTTCGAAGTCGATGTCTTTCCATCAGAACCACGTGGTCGCACAAGTCCAGCAGCCGGGATGAAATTGCTGAAGGCCCCCCTGTTCATGCTGAGGAAGAGCATGTGAGAACCTGGACAAGCTCTGGTGCTTACAGCTCGATTTGCCGACAGACTATACCAGCACCTGAACCGGAAACATCTCTGAAGCGGTTTCTTCTGGGACTCCCAACACTGCACCACCCTTCCGCGACGATTTCGGCATGCATGGTGCCCGGAAACCGCCGCCCCCGCTTCTCAGACCTACCAGGCACTGATGAGAATGTCTCGATCCAGGTAAATCCAGGTCTGTCATATACCGATCTTCATTAAGCACCCTTCCCCATCATAGGCAAACATTTCTGCCCAAGAAAAGGTGTCTTGTTTGTCAACCTTTACTCACAAATTGTCGGAAGGCTCCAATTGTCCTTGTGTCTGTCAAAAGGCTCTTCTTTGCAGTCTTCCTTTTTCTTGACAAGGACCCCTAAACCTGCAGACCGAGAAACAGAAATGGGACGTGCAATTAATTAAACAATTAAGTGACCCTTAGGAGGCTTAAGTGACCTCAAACCAGGTTATCAAACAGTCACTTTGAAGAACCAGGCGTATCACTGCTTTCGCGGTCGCATCCTCCTTGTGACATTTCACAGCAGGGCAGGACTGAAAACCCCAAACCGGTGATGTGTAGAGGGAAGCGACCACCCCGTGACCACTGATGTTCGAACAGCACATCGCGTGCCCACACCGTGTCACGACCACTGACCTTGTGACGAGAAGCCCAGCGATTTGACCACGTCGATGGTATCTTTGGCTTCGGATATCACGAAGTCTATGGGCATATATCCTCAGTCATGCAAAGCCGACACATGTCATCAAACAATCTATATATATATATATAAGTTAATCCATGATCAATAAAAATGACTACTCCTCACGATTTCAAGAGTTGCTGTGCAGCTCTAAAAACCGCTAAACAGCACCCAACGGTTCCACCGCACGACGGGGTTCTTCAAGCGGCGGACCGACGTGTCAATCAGAGGCCTCCAGATCCGTGGAGAGCGGGATGCGGACGTCCCCCAAACAAAAACTGGTGACATCGCCCAGGTTTGGGAATGAACGAATGCCAATCCACCCGGGTTTTCCACCAAACCCGGAAGATCCGTCTTCGGATGTTCTGGGCAACGTTGTAAGCAATCATTGACGGAGTCACAGGGCCAGGGCCGGTGACGGCGTGCGGTGTGTCCGAACCGATCCCGCGACAAGGCCATGCGATCAATCACTGCGTTTGCCAGCTTTCCACGTTCGTCTTGCGTGACGGAGTGGGAGAACAAGCAACTGGGTCATTTGGATACTGGCACCGAAGAAATTAAAGCTGGGACTAATGGGTTTGGAAGACCTCCCCGCAAACAGCCAAATGTATCTCAAAGCTCAGTTCCTCTTCGCATGCCCTAGCCAAAGCTCGGAGTGGAGCACCTTGGATACGCAAAGACTGATGCGCCAAGACTGCCTGCTCTTTGATCGCCAAGTACAGTCCTCGCCCATAAGGCTCTTCCTCAAGGCGGACAAGGACTAATGACTAATAAGGCTGGTTCCAGCCCTTCTGCCACATGTATAGATTCATCGGGAGCATTTGGGAAAGGGCCGCTTGCTAGAATTATGTCCCTCTTGGCCAACCAGGGACGGGAAAGTTGAACATAGACAATAGACACTATGTTATGTTTATCTATTTTTCATTTTGTTTACATATTTGCTATCATGTTTTCTGTCGTTTTCTTTTCATCGCCTGATGTCTTTTCATTTGTGTTCTCAGTTCTGTTGCTATGTGTGTTCACTACCTGATTTGTTTGTACTGTGTTTCCATCGCCTTGCTGCGCAAAACAACCTGTTTCCATTACCTGTTTCGCCTTGCAGCTAGAATTCCTGGAAGTGAATGGGCCTGAAGAGGTGATGCTCCAGGGTCTCGTGTCTCCAGTCTGGTCATTGAGTGGTCATCGTGCGTGGCCAGGTAAATGATCACCGGATCGCAGCATACAGACTCACGCTACAGAGCAAACTAAACAACAATAGCTAGACCCTATTGCACTGTCAAACATAAACGCACACGCACATACATATAGGTATACACATGTATGATGATATAAGTTTTAAACCGATACTGCACTGTACATAAATATATACATACATACATGCTATATATATATATATATTAATATAGAAACTGCCGTCCACAGTGCTGGCAGCTGACAGCATAGAGGCATACAGCTCTGGGCACCTGGAAGGTGGTTAACCAGTTCCAAAAGGCTTTTGCTTGAAGGGCGTCTGGCGGCACTGTTCCTCAGTCTTTTCTGCCGCTTCGGCTTCAAGACACGACCAGTTTGGGCCGTGTCTTGAGCTGAAAAAGAACATCGAACATCGCCAATTCCATCACATAGACACTCACACTGTATGTACGAGGCCTTCATAGTTCTCTGTTCACTGTTCACCGTTCCTTACAAACCATGGTCATCACCCATGATTGGACTGCCACCAACTCGTTGTTTCGGAAGTCTTGGCTGAGCTGCTCAAGAAGTATGGATAGAGCTCTTTGTCGGACAGCGTCGGGCTGGTGGAGGCAAAGCAAACCTCGCGGAGTCCGACCGGAGACCGGAGAGCCCAACGAGGTCGGAGTCCGACTGGAGACCGGTCAGTCGAAACACCGACGGGTGGCGCTGGGACGGGTTCCGTGGGGACGGAAAAAAACGTGATGGCAAGGACCAGGATGAAGGCCTTGACCGGTTGACAAGTACCCCCATAATTATGGAATGGAGAGTTCAGCACCTATAGTGAGTATAGCAGGCTCTAGGGGAAATGAATCACGAAAAGGTACCCTGCCAAGACCTAACCTATATAGCATGGTTTTCATCTGCTGCGGATTTGGAGGGATATGGCTGTGGGTCAAAACCAGGTTACCCGGGGTGACCACCGAGTGGATGAGCAGAAAGCCGACTCGACTACTAGACATGGTCAACCTTCCAGGGAGAACCCGGCTCGGGGTGTGATCCACCATATGTGGATGGGCAACGATGTGGCTAAAGACTGGTTGTGGCAGCGATGGGCAGCGAATGCCCAAGGCTATGACTCTTTCGAGACGGATGGCCAAGGGCTAGTATGCAAAGCAAATCAGGCGGCATAGAACCCTAAATAATCCACCTAAAGTTCTGAAGATTAGATTATAGGTATATATGGTAGGTGGGAAAAAAACGGAGTTGCTGCATGTTGTTGCTCTTTTGAGGCCACTGGTTCTTGGTTCTGAAATCGCTTCACTCTTCGAACGCCCGCTTGAAACAGCCTGTGGGATGTGGATGACCCGCGCAACGGAGGCCACGGGGATGGACATGGACGAGGAGGCAACACCAACCAATCCAACAACGGGTCTCAGGCCATTGGCACCGAACATGAAGTCCAATGCCGTGCCTGGAAGCCGGTGACTTTTGTCGGATGTTCTGGGACGTGATGGGGCGATCTTAGGCCATTCGTCAAGTCCTACTTTGTCACGGCTCCATTGTATACTCAATATACCGGGATGTATGCAGCGCCAATCGGTGTTCCTCCAGTAACTGCAGCCTCTTTGGGATCGCCATAGCGTAGAGCTGAAGATGTCCTTTCACCATGTGAGTTGCAAAATGGTTTTGGCAGGTAACAGCTACCTGGACTAGAGAGGTTGAACAGCCCCAAACAGGTGACCCGACTCCCTCAGTGTCCACCTATGCTATCCCGTTCTTGTTGAGTGGAGAAACCAATCCCCACGAAAAAAGATTCTGCACTGAATGGGTAGGACAGGGTCCCAGCTGTCTCCAAAAACCTCTCTTGGTAGGTCTCATCCAATACGGAACCCGCTAGGAGATTGGAGGCCATCGCTAGTAGGTTGGAGGCCATTCCCATTTGGTCAGTGGTGGCTATTTGGTCGCTGGTGCGCCACCGAACGTACGACCGCCACGCGGTGCTCTCGGCTGAAGCCCGAGCGGCTCACCCCAAAAAGAACGTGGCCACGTGGCCACGTGGACAGGGTGTCAAAGAAATATCTGCGTTCTTTTTCAAAAGTTTGGATTGTGCGTCTTGTCGTGGTGGTCATCAAGTTACACTTCCCCGTTTCCATCTACCAGTAGGCACACCTACTCTGCAAACGACTGTCGTAGAACACCGCCGTTTCACGCCAGCTTGACCGGGTGTTTTAACGCACCAATGGTGTCGAATCGCGGGACGAGAAACCCGAAACCCGCGCCTACACCCACCTGAGGGTTGGAATGTGAGGTGCCAATTCGCATCGTGATGTTGGCCACCTGGAAGCTGGAGTTTGTCGCCCGAAACGAGCTGGGCGAGCCTCTGGTCTCGCTGGAGGGCGGCCGACTTCACATGAGGTCATGGAACCGTTTTGACTCCGATGATACGAAAGCTATACGAGTGGCACAAGTACCCTGCAGGCGTTTTGATAGAGCAGGGAGACACGGCCCAAACACCCTGCAAGCAGGACAAAATACTGGTTTGGGTGGAATCGCATCCCTGGCCCTATTCCACCACACTCCCACATGGATGTACCGCTTTGGCTTCACCCAGCAACGTTCAGCAGCAAACTCACGATCCGGCAATGCCGCTGAGAACAATACAATCGATAGCACGTGAGGGATCGTGAGGGTGTCTGCAGTTTGTTCTCGTCGGTGCATGATTGTGTCGGTACGAGTGGGAAGTGCTTGTCTGCATGATCATTTCTGTGATCTTTGGGCGTCTTTGGGCGGTTCTTTTGCGATTGAAATCGATCTATATTTTGGCCTTCGGAAATCTCGGAAGCCTGGATTAATCTATCCTCCACAACGCCCAATCAATGGATTAGATTCGCCCACCCTTACCCTTTGGTTGCGGGACCTGTTCTTTTTTATCTCCCCACACCGGCCCTCGCGGAGGCCTCAGGGTGAGCTGGCTGCAGCTCCACGAAGGGAGGCCCGAAACGAGTGACCACACCTGACGACACAAAAAGGAAAAAAGGCACGCAGCGGAGAAATTGGGGCCTTTGATGGATTGAACGCAAAGGTTGGGAGCTTGGCTCCCAAAATGACGAGATGCAAGGACTCTGCAGACACTGCAGGTGTTCGAACATCTATCACATGTGATAAGTGTCGCATTTCCGCCTTCTGGTGCTTCGACAGAAACATGTTGCTATTCCCAGCCCCCCCAAAATCTTGAAAGAACCACTAAATCAAAAGAAGCTGTATCATAAGGGTGGCAAACTCGAGGCATTATACATGGTATTTGCGTTCGTAGCGGCAGAAGAGACGGCAACGTGACTCCTCCGTGGTCACTAGATGTCACTAGTCGAAGACTAGTGATAACTGTGAGAAGTCTCTACAACTCCTTGGCACCTAGTTATATATAAATATAACTCTCTCTATATATATATATTTATGTATGTATACATACCCCAAACATTGCATTTTTTGATCAAAACAGGGGTCAAATGGATTCTGTAATTATACAATACTATTATTGTATATATAACTATAATATATTACATGAGTATATACATGAGTCGATATGCATTTGAGTCATACATCTGCCCTGTCCGAACAAGTTACCGCAACTCCGCTGAGCGCGCGGCCGGGTTCGAAGTGCTTGCGGAGCTCCATGTCCACAGCGGCGACGATCGCCATATGGAGCTGATTCCAGCTGGTGATGCCCTAAAATCGAAGCTTCGGATGGATGGCAGTCAAATCGAAACTTCTATGGCAACCAGGTATGGTAACCAGGGCTTCCAATTGCAACTGCTCAGAGGATCTATCGCCTGACTGTGTAGGTGTAGGTTGATGAGCCATGATCCAAAGCGTCAAGAAGCCCGTGTCGGAGCAAAGACATCATTGTCAGGGGAACCAATAAAACAATCTAGTGCTCCTCAAAGGTTCAAGGCACATGAGGTGTGATTGTGTGTCTTCATTGTCTAACACGCTTGCCTATGGAAGGATGGGCAGTTCATTGAACAGGGTTGGATTGGCTTCCAGTTCAGCTCCTCAACCGATTGAAGATGACCAGCAAGTACTTATCGATACCCGACCTTATGTCCTCCGTCGGTTGTGGCATTTTCCCAACTCTGTTCCAAGACAAGCTGCGAAGGCAGCTTCTGCGACGTTTTGGGCTCAATTTGGGTAGCGAGCTCCCCAATACCCATACAAGAACATCCACCTCTCTCTCTGAAAGGTCGGCTCCGGCTTAACCACACTCCCCGGATCTCCCCATTCAACACTTCTGCTCAGCTGCACTGATCACCCCTAGGGCCAAATCCTGCGCATGATTGAACGGGAGGAGCCACAGAATGAGCCAGAATGACTGCCATGGCTTCGCCATCCGCCGGACCTAGCTCATCTATGCTTTCACTTTGGTTGCACTTCCATAAAACCGGCGCAAATGGCTGCATGTCATTGCATGTCCATGCATGTTTATCTTGCAAGTGGATGAGTCCACATATAAAAACTGCAACGATCTGTCACTTGGTGCCTTTATGGGACCAAACCTTTATGGTTCTCATGACCCTTGGCCCTTTGAGATTCGTCTGGGTCTTGCTCCTCTTCCCGTCTTGATCTTGGACCGGACGCGCAGGACGGGCAGCCAGCGACGGTGCATTGACGTGGAGGCCGGTCCTGCTGCACTCACGATCCCAAGAGCGACAACTAGGTCCCAAATCCACAGCACAGCACCTAAGCACCCTTTGCTCCAAAACACAGTCGAAGAGTACGACTTCGACCCACCGCGAAGAAAAACCATCTTTGGGTGGAATGGAGCACGGTCTCACGTCTGACAAAAAGAGAGGTGCTTAGTGATCTGATGCTGCTAGCTTCGGTATCGTGCTATAGAAGCACCCTCCAAGAAGTCACAACCTTCACTTTTAAGTCGTGAAAAGCCACCAGAGGAGACCTGATCTGCGAAGAAAAACGCCAACGCGACTCCGGCGAATCCAAGCGTTGAACCCTGGAAGACTGCGACGCACACTGCAACGCATGTGGCAATTAGGTCTAGTGGATAGGATGGGTTTAACATGGTTTAAAGAAACAAGGTTCCAGTGAGTGAGGTGACGGTCTTTGGAAGCAGTGTGGAGACCAGGCCTTCCCGGTGGACACACGAATGGACGGACCGGACCGGAAGTTCCGAACGGTCACGCCACCGGGCGGAGGTCTGGCATCCGATGACGGCAGAGTCGTCGCTTCGGTCTGTTTGGGTCGTCGCGCAATGGTGGACCTCCAAACGATCACGTCTACGGTGACAAATGGACATCCTTACAAGGTCTGAGACGAGCGAAGACCAGCGCACGTGGTGTGTGGCTTGGGTCCCCAAACCGATGTAGAAGTAGGTGGCGCAAGAATTGCCTCAGAGATGCAGAATTAGTCATGGACACTGGCAGGATGACTCGTTGGAGCATACTGGGCTAGTGCGGTATGATCTTCATGTGCCCGGCCCACACATTCTGTCCTATCCCCAAATCCCAGCTCTTCTGAGGGTAGAGGGGCAGAAAGGGCCAGGATATACCTTGAAAACATATCACCCGGGAAGGCTACACATACAACATAATTAACTATAACGATGTACAATCACCAATCCCGCCCTCCAAGAAAGAATCGGCAAAATATCACAAAACCCAGTGTTCAAGGCAAAGGCTTCTGACAATGCGGTTTCTGCCATTGCCACAGCCCCTCAGTTTGACAAATTACCAAAGAAAGATTTTGGTACCTGGTAAGTGTAGGCACCCTTCGCACCAGTTCTTCGTTTTATGAGATTCAATCTCAAGTGCTGCTAGTTCGAGTCTCTGCTAGGTCGAATTCCGACTCCCCAGAAAAGCTCCCATCACTATTAAACGATCGTTCCGCACGGGTCGTTCCCTCCATCCCCAGTCGGCCCAGTCACCCTCCACCAGCCCAGTCGCTTCGGTGCGGCGACTCCATGCAAGGAGAGGGCGGAAGGAGAGGAATGCACCCAGGCGAATGCACCCGGGCGGATGCACCCGCGCGTGGGATCCCCCAAGGTGGACAACAACCTTACAAATAATACCTTACAGTTGTGTATGTGTACATGTGTGTTGTATTATATAAATAGATATATTTATATATACATATATATTAACCTGATGTAATGATATAACATTGATACAAGCATCATGGGCGCCTTTTCCCTCCAAAACTTCACTTAGCACACTCAAGCTCAAGGAAAGCAAACGACTATGCTCCCTGAACCGGTGAAATAACACATGGTCCTGGAACCCTGTTCAGCTGTCGCTTCATTTAGCGCAACTTCTCCAAGGAGTTGAGTATAGAAATCTTTGCTGAGCTACTGCTTTGTGCCAGGATTTGAATATGTATATATATATAGTTGAACATTGTTGAACATGCAACCTGTGGATTTTTGTTGCAACTCACATCAACTAGCTGCCTAGATCTTCTGATATGATTATTGTGTTGCCCCTTATATGGTCCTTGAAGTCCAGGATGGTACCGTTGATGGGCTTGCACTACAGGTGAGGTGGACGTTGGAATTGCAAAGGGGAGACTTGTGGTGAGGAGGTTGGCTCCAACTCGCTTTGAGGCGTGTGTGTGTGTGTGTTGATGTGTTGATGGTCTTCCAGGTCTTGCCTGAATCAAACTCAATCAAACTGGGGTCTTCCTCATATTCAGTGACGCCTCCTACTGCAAAGTGACATTCACACTGACTCCCTCAGTTCACCCTGACTCCTTCAGTTTCCATGTATAAAAAACAGGTGAACCTTTTTCCACATGTTCTTCACCAATCCCCAAAAAGCTGGGGCAGGTGGTGCATTGAATTATAATTAGACCATATGACGGCGGACTCTCTCATCGATGAGCTGACGTCGAGCCAGGTTGCGAAGCTCTGCTCTTGACAAAGCACTACTTGATGCAGAATGTTGATTAACAACCCACCATATGAAAATAAATTTAGAATCCAAATCAGGTCCGTATTAATCATGGTTAGTCAACATGCTAAGATTCGAATACACCTGACATGTTCGCCTGTCACCTCAAACAGTGTTTCCAAATGCTGTTGGACATCTTTCAGAAGGTCCCGGACATGTATGGAGCTCTGAGAGTGACATCTTTCGGAGGCCTGCATGTTGGCTTATATAGAAGTATCACATTTTAGAAACTGATAGACTTATTCAGATATATTCAGATAGGCCCCATTGGCATTCCAAGCTTCAATATTCTTCAAACATTCTTTTGCCCCCACACACACACTTCTTTGGGTTCCCACCTTGCTCTCCCCGCCCCCCAAAACAACACTTCCGCGATTCCGTGACGCAGGCCGCATGCGCGGCAAAAGGGTACTGCGTGCACCTGGAGGAAGATGGGCTGAAGAAGCCGTTCCACCTGACTTTTTCGGCGAGTGCGGCGAGTTCGCCGCTGCGGCCAGCGATGGCCAGCGGCCAAAAGGGTGGAACTGGGAAGAGTTCGACTGCTGGATGATCTTATTGCATTGCATCTTTCGGAAGCAAATGCACAAACGCCGGGTGTAATGTATGCCCCACTTGTGGGCACAAAAAGGAGTGAAGTGTTTATTTTAAGAGTTTGGGGGATTCTGAGATTCTATCGTCATTCAGCTGCAGGGACGATTAGGCATTAGGCCATCCATTGTCAGCTCGGGTAGGCTCTCAGGCTCTCATACAATGGAGTAAGTATTGAAGGAGGAGATCTCAATGACTAGTTTCACACGGCAAATCCTTGCGAACAAGTTCCAGCTTTCTTGTTGCAAGTGTGCTCCAATCTGTGCATCCCAAGTGGGTCTCATCACAAATGCTTCAGTCTGTGGCTCTCATCACTCGCTTCAGTCTGTGGGCCATTCCGATCTGGTGTGCACGTCTCACGCGTTTATCCCATCCCCGCGCCAGGACGGGCCCCAAAGAATCATCCGCCAGGAAGACCTCAGAGTGGTGTCGAGGTTTTAAGCGGACTGGTGAGCATGTGAACTAGCTGCTTTAGTCAGTAGGTCTAGTTGTGCAGTTGGTTTTTGGACCGAACTATTAACACACCTTCTGAGGGACCAGTGACCAGGGTCCAAGTTGGTTGGGTCTATAGTTGGTTGGGCCCGGTTGGCCCTCCGATTGGCCCTTGGGCACCAACCACTGGTATCTAGCTCGCGGCCCCGACTCTCTGAGTGCAGAGGGGTGTTGGGAGGGTGTTGGTGAATGCTGGTGACCAGTGGTGAAAAAACATGCTGAGATGGAACGCATCAGCTAACATCCGCAGGTTTGCGGATGTTAGAATCCAACCATGGTGATAAACTGAATGAACGACAGTTGTCCGACAGTTGCTCCCCTGAGGATTCTTCGCGCGCTCCATTCTCAGATGTCAGCTGACGTCGGCCATGCGGGCCTTCTCCCACCAGCATGATGCCCACCATAGGCGTTCCCCCCCACGACTTGCACTGCCTTGGGTTGAGCGACATCACTCAGCAGTGTCACTTCCCCCACCACCGCCACCACCACCAACAGCAACAACAACAACCGCAACCGCAGTCACAACTACAACCACAACCCCCACGGAGCAAGACTGAGCACTGCAATACTACAACAAACACTGCCTTACATTCAACCATCCCAGCAAATCCTGCTATGATAGCAGTTCACCGGTGATATCTCACCGTCTCGTGTGATGTTTCACCGGTGTATATAACTGTATAACCAGCTTGGTGTCTCATAACCAGCTGGTACAGGCGCAAGCCAAAGCAGGTGTGTTTTCAGTTGGGTGGGAGAGGGAAGACGCGCTCCCATCCCCAATGTGATTACGAGAGCTTATGTGTAACAAGTGATTGAGGAAACGCCCAGTTTTTCCTGCAAACCACATCTGGCCAAGTTTCAAACTTTGGGCGCCCAAACCCTTTTCAACCAATGTGGCTCCACTTCTTCGGCCAGTTGTACCAACCGCGTCGTATGCAATAAATTGGGGCGCACAAAGGGGCACGCTCGCAACCAAAGCGCCCTTCATGCTTGTCAAGGAGCAGTGCCCGGGTTGAAGCGCACACAGCTTTGACCAATCTGGGGCTGGAGTTGGGTAAGGGATGAACCCTAGTCTCTTTCCACTGCACCTCCTTCGCAGAAACCTGTTGAAGTCCTCTACCATTTGTTCGAATCCGTCGATATTTCTTCGGTTGGGTGACCCACCAAGCTCCAACACCCCATGAGACTGGCAGTCCTAACTCCCCATCAGATTGGGGTGGTTGTTTCAAGGATCAAGGTAGGCGTAGATTATCAGTCCCATGGAGTTTTGAGGTAGTGGTTAGCTCCCTGACATCAATCATGGTTTAGTGGAGTGAGTGAAAACCACCCGAACGGATCGAATCGGATTTCATGGTCTCCTCCGAACGGATGTTTAAGGGGCCGAAGGTTCCATCCACGTAACCACCAGATGAGAACAATCCGGGAGTGTATACTTTTAGTGTCTTACCCAAACGCTCAGTTCACAGCCCTACTTCCGGTCCCTCAAAACCGATTGGTTCGACCCCAGGCCCGATTCGGGTCCGACCCCTCCCTGCAGGGTCCAGGGTCGCGTCTGGGTAGGGGTTCAGCGCCTGGATCTCCGCCACGAGGAAGGCCACAACGCCTTGAGAGCTCACAGCTGCCTTGGGGCAACTCCACCTTGCGGGTCTTTGGTGGGCGAACAGCGCAGTGAATCGGCCAGGCTGTTCTCTACTCCGTCGAATACAAACAAAATTAAAGCGATGGCGATGGCCTCCAACCTACTGGCTATTTGGACTTTCCACCCACCCGAATACCACCTCCGAAATGAAGGTACTTGGCCCCAGTACAAGTGAAACAAATGACCAGGATCGTAATTTCCAGCAGCAACTTCCCTAATTAAAGGATTCTACTGGAGCCAAGCTGAAGGGCATGACACGTCGGCCAATGAGGCCCTTCAAGGCCTCTCACCCGATGAAGCCAGCTCAGGTGTGTCAGCCGGGTCATCTAAAGGGCACACCAAATCCCGTAAAAAATGAAACAGCAATGGAATTTGGTGTGTTCAAACAGGTTTGGTGCTTTAGAATAATGGAGGCAAGTGAATGAAGTGTTCATGTTCAAAACAGTTGTGCACGGGTTGGTATACACGTACTGTATATATGTCAACGAAGTAAGAAAATCAAATAACATTGTCAGGCCTTATGCCCTTGGAAGCTACAAGATTATATTTATATATGCATTTGTGCTTGTGCATATGTTCCAGGACGCGTCCTCGGAAATATGATTACCAGGACTTACATCATGAGTTAGTTAAGCTTCTCAAGCTTCGAATTGCAAACAGTCATGCGCAAAGCACTGTTTGGGATATATAAATCCGTTTCCCAACCGTTACAGTAACTGTTCACCATCTTCATCCATCCTGGAGGCAACCTGCCGAACAAACGGGCTCGTAACGAAGAGAATGGCCCACCCCGGGCCATAAAGCGCATCGGGGAAAAATCTCAGGCTCCGGGCCAGGCGGAAGCCTTCACCGCGGCACGTGCCTGGCGAAGTGATTCCTCTGACCTCTTTGGGTCGGTGCCGGGGGGCGCCAACAAAAGGCGCTGCCGTCAAGTTGTATCACTTGGAAGCACCAGGAAGTTAGTGTTTAGCTTTATGGGCTGGCAGTAAGAATCATATCTGTGGACTTCAGGCTTGCTGTTGCCATATGAATGCCAAACTCTGAAAACTGAAACGCACCTCTTCAGGCCAACTTTTCCTCTGTCCTCTCCGTGCGTGTGCTTCACGCTGCAGCCATACTGTTTGCTGCGAGAATGGGGGGTGATACACAGCAGTGAGACCGAGACCAACTTAAGCGACCAACGATCGGGACTCAAGGCGATTCTCCACAAGGCTATCTAAAGCTTGTTCCACCACACCCAAGGAACATCAAAGAATGCATAGTAATTATTTACCTCCAAATAGAAAGTGAGTAGGAAACAAACCCTTTCAAATGTGTAGTGGATGTTGCTGCCTTTATATGTTGAGACCTCTACAGCCCTGAAGATAGAGATGGGAGTGTCTGTGAACAAGAACTCTTGAATCACACTCGAGACTCGCCGATGGGCCCGGTTTGCAGACCCATCCTTTGCATAGGATGACTTGCAACCTCCTACTAGCAAGGCAACCATGGAACATCCTCACAAAACACGAAGAAGAAAGGATAAGAAAGGCATCGCAACATACAAAACACACCAGAACCCTGTGTGAGGGTGTAACCATCACCTCTGATATGGTTGGATGGCCCTGGTTTATGGCCTCATCACCCGGCCTTTTCTCAGAAAAGGCACGGACGAAAGCTTGGACGAGCATGCTTTGTTCTCGTCCTCGGAATAGGTCTCTGTCGTCTCATGCTTCAGAGTTGATGAGGATGTTTCTCTTGCCTTGCTGCAGTGAAAACCAAAGAGCAGAACCATCCCGCTCACGGACTCTCCACATTCCCTCCGTGCGTTCGAAATCTGTTTGGGATTGGAAAACATCAAACATCCCAAACCTCTCCAAGTAACCAAGCTTCTCAATGTCTTTCTCCAGCTGTGACAACTCGGCTTCATGCTTTTCCTTGCGCTTCAACTTGCCCATCGTGTCCAAGGTTGTCACATGAGTACCGCCTTGATAGGCAGTATTCACCTCGAGGCCAGGAACGTCTGGGAGTCTTGCACCAGAAATCCACGCTGAATCCTTCTAAAAAGGACTCCTACCAACCACAGAAACTTTCATTAGAACTCAAACCAGCTTGTTTCTTGCCTATTTCTTTCGGCACCCCCCACCTGTTCCCACTTCGATTTCAAGCCTTCCAGCACCTCTTGCTGCTCATCTTCTCTCATGGGACGCACTCTTTCCGCCTCTTCGGCTGCCCTCTGCTCTTGCAAAGCTCTGATATACCTCAGCCGGCCCCGAGAAAGGCCCGACCACCAGCAAGGAGGCTTGCTTTCTTGCTGGTGCTGGACTCGGCTGTCTCCAAAAAGATCTGCGCACGCCCAGTTGGACTAAGGGTGCGTATTCCACTGAGTCTGCAAAAACGAGGGTCTGCCGCGAAAAAGGGGGCGAAGTCTACATGTGCAATTCGAGCACTAATCGGAAATGAAATGAATCTTTTGTCCTCCGAAAACGGGCTCTTAATCTATTCATGTTTGTTCTTCCGGTTGCACAAGTGGCCACCAAATATCATCGAACATCCCGACACATGTTCAACCGGATTTGAGTTACCTAGCTATTGCGGGCTAAAGAGGATCTCAATACAATTTCAAGGGGGCTTGACTTGTTCATTCGGGTTTCACGTAAGTTGCTTGTGATCAAAGGCTGCACCTACCGAATCCAGAAGGTGTAGCCTCGTCAAGCCTCATCACTTATCCATGTCAAATCACTGTCCATGCAAACTAGGAAAACTGACAAAGCATCAGCTGCAGCCCCAAAGACTGGTACTCCCTCTCAATGTCTTGCTTGATGTGTTGCAAGTACTTTGGCACCTTTCCGTAGTCCTCCTCTCATTGGCAGTTCTGAGCGCTTCTTTGCAAGTGGTCAAAGCACTTGCTGATGCAGTAGGTTAGAAGTTCAATGAAGTTCAGATTCAGCTACAGATTTGGAACTTGTATAAACTCGTAGAACTATCCCAACAAAGGGTCAGCTTCGGCACGCAATCGCAACCCTCGCGGTTGATACCCTGCACATGAAGTAGAAAACCATGATAAATCCCCATGATCACCGCCAGCAGTCTTCTCCACCCCCCCCCCGCCGCAGTGGGTCCACAGGAAGCGGTGCGCTTGAGGTACACACCCCCACCGGGTACGCGGTACGCGCGGGAGAGCAGGGGCCGATGAAGGTCCTTCTTCAAGTAGTCCTTGGTACCTTCGGGAACCTTTTTGGGTGCCGCCAGGATCACCTCCACCGCATTGGCCACGATGAAGTTCTTGCTGGTGACCTGGTATACGATGGCAATCGAGACCCTCGGTGAGAACAAATCCCTGATGCGTTTGGCTACATCGCACCGATTTCGATGCTGATCTCTCAGTTCGGGTCAGCTCGCAAGCTTCCAGTAGCATATAATTAATTATATAGTTCAATCAATTAATTATGAGTTTGTCACCTGCGGTCGACATTTGTTCATCGGCAATTCCTCAAACAAGTAGAACTCTGAATCCCCCAAAGCGGCGCTCCCAGAAGAATTTCTGGGCGAATCCATCTCCCTTGCTGGTTGGTTGGTAAGGACCTCTACTACTGGCAACATGTGTCCAACTGCTACGCTGCGAAAATAGGCCCAAAAAAGCATCGAAGATCTATAATATATATTTATTCAAGGGACCATCTAAACCCATGGCCATCTGATTGCCATTGGGTGTACCCCAAAGAAGGCAAATAAACAAACCGATCGTTTCTTTTAAATGGTTGACACTATGGTTGACCCAGTTTTGCCTAAAACATGATAAACACCGTATTTTCCACACAATATATGGCTACTAGCTTGGAACCGGTCGCCAATTTTCCGCCCAAGCCACGAGATTCATCACAGGCTTGTCCGAGGTGGCTGGTGGCCCATGTCTGGTCTGCGGCTTCAATTGCTGTGGGACCAAGGCTTCCGGATGGTCCCTCTTCATCTCTTTGAGAGTCAAGACCTGCACAGTCCGCAGCGCTTGAGGTCCGGTCGGGAGGTCGCCTGGTCAGGTCAGGGCCCATCTTGTTCTTTGGGGGTGCGTAAGGGTCTGACTAGTTGCCCCAAGTCTATGAAGTTCTTTCTTTTGGTCGGTCCCCAAATATATTGTCTGGACTTCGGTATGCTTGAAGCTCGAAGCTTTTGCCAACCAAGTTTGGGCACCAAACAACAAACAAAGTACTCGTTCGGGGGCACGCGCACACCATATTGACTACAACCTGATCTTTAAAGCCATACCCTTCTAAAACATAGCCAATGATTCATGGTGCTTTTGTCCAAATCAGTCTTTGGGATTCATGCCAGTTTTGCGCGAATAAAAGGACCCAAAATGTCCGGCTGTGTTGGTGAAGGTCACCCCGAAAAAGCCCCTAAAGACCTTGGGGATCTCCATTGGACACCCCTTGAAGGCCCAGGTATGTAGTTTGGATCGGGCATTATCAGGGCACGTCCATGATCATCAGCAAATATCAGCAGAACCCTCAGCAGTACAACTTGTGACCTCCCCCCTTTTGTGCTACACATCCAATGGCTCGCAGTGTTGGACTCCTTCATGGCACAAGCGTGGCCCCGGCATGGCCCTTCTGTCAAGCGGTGTGCTTCTTTCAGTCTTTCAGTGCAGATTCAGCTTCATCAAAAAGGTTCTTGATGGATCTCGTAGAACTTCATTGACACCACAAAGGCAGTAATGACACCGATCCTGGCCTTGCCACCGGAATGTTCCTGCTTCTTCAAGAAGCTTGCAGGATCATCGGTATAAGATCCTGGGTCAACAGTGTCGTGAAGGAACTGGTGCCAATGGATGTACAGTTGCCGCATTCAATATCACTATGCTGAAATTGACAAAGAAGACAGAACACAACAACACAAATCTGCTTCCTTCAGACTGACGTCCTTTTCCCACTGGATTTGTCCTTTCCATTTTCAGGTTTCAACCACAGCAGGGTACCAAGCAAAGCAAACAGCAAGAGATCACAGTTGTGTACCGTGTGCTTCACCACAACGGCCCACCACCTTCAGCTCAGAGAACCTATCCACGCGTACACCAAGGAAATTCCCAAAAGAGGGGAATCCTTTCAGGGACTGTGACATGGCCCTGAGCATAGGCCACGAATACACTCCCCGGAACTAGCACGGAAGTGGATGGCATGGCCCCCCCAAAAAAGATTGTCCTCTGGAAACTAAACAAGTGCCCATCCACTTCCATGATTATTTCAAGGGGTGTATGCCTTCCATATGGCCTGTAGTCAGCCCCTGCCACCACATGCGACTGTAGCAATCACCAGCTTAATATACTGGATGTAATCCACGGAGTCTGTAACTTCCCAGCCAAGGATGACTGAATAGGTCGAGACTCCCTTCGGCTTGCCGAACGTCGAGTGTGACCTGCAGTGGTTTGTCAAATACCTGGACCAAAGAATGGCTACCAGCACTTTTTTCTGCCTGCCAAGTCCATGCATTGGTTATTAACAAAAGCAAAGTAAACTCGAGACAAATCAATGTTCATATCAATAGCGGAAGGTTCAGAAATCCAAGGTCCACAAAAACCACACACACAAATAAAAAGAGCGTGCAAAAGGAACGCACAAACCAGCTGGGTGACTTATCTGCCACGGGCTTCTGCTCCAAATAGCCTCCCACATTGGCCACAGCTGGACATGTTGTGCCGCCCGTCGGAAAGGTCGTGGCCGTCGGTGGGAGCTGGGAAGCGTGCTGCGACTTGTACATGGGCGGTCGCTCCTGGCCCAGGTGACCGGCCAGGGCTTCGTGCTGTGATGTTGCAGTAGAGTTCTTATATGTGATAAACCCGAGCCCGTACACTCTAAACTCTAGTTTTGGGGGGTCTCTACATAAATAAATAGATATATTATATACAAAATATATATTGTTTGCATAGATCAGATCATGGCCTCTGCGAACAAAAAACATATGGAGTTTCAGTGGCTGTGGTCTCCAGTGGCCATGGTGATTCAATGTTGTCTCACACTCCCCGAAATAATCATGGAAGTGAAAAAAAAACCTGTTTGGAATTGGGAACATATTCATCCAAGGGGGCCATGCCATCCACTTTCATGATTATTTCACGGAGTGTATCCTGTCTTATGCGTTGGGGAGTTCTACAATACATCTAATCATGGTGGTCCAATAGGATATATGATTAAGTTGGTGATTTTTTCTTGTGCGATGTAGATAGTGACATGGTGGTGAATTGCACGGTGTACTGTTGTCATCATATACAAGTTGTACCAATTTGTCATCCAATTCGTTTGCTTCAACGGACAGCGTCGTGCATGATTCAACTGTCAACTCTTTCTGGCCAAGACTGTCATCGTCGGTACTTTAGGAAAATATCCAACCATGTGTTCCTTATGTTCACCACCCCCACTGGTGGAGCTCCATACTGGAGCCCTGGAAGGAGACCCGTGCGCCATCCGGATGGACGTGCGCCCATCCACCCCTCCTGCAGCAGCTGCTTGGGCGGAATCAGGTTGTAAATCGACTCTCCGTGCATCATGACCGTGGCCATTGAGGTGAGTGCCGGTCGCGCGGATGGGTCGAAGCAAGCGGAGGGGATGGGCCAACGTCGCTCCCAGTGGTGCAGTGCCGCTTGATCCGAAGCACATGCAAAAAGAAACGATCCAGGGACGGTTGATTCAAGCCTCACACTGTGGAGAACGACATTTGCTAGGCTGCGGCAACCACTTGTGCATGGTATTTGCTGGGAATCAAGCGGTTCCTTGCTTGTTTGCTCTTCCCTGACGCTGAATATCTTGAGGGTCTAAACATATCTAAACACAGCCCTCCTAACACTACCCAGTGGTTCACTTTCCCACTTTACCATCGGTTCACAAATCCGTGATGCCCTTGTCATGGTCCACAAATCCGCTGAAGAACACTCCAAATCAACATGACGTCTTTCAGTCTTTCCATGTGACCGTCCGTGGACACCGGACCAGCTCGGTCCCTGCCCATCGTTCGTGGTGTGCATGCGGCGTTCGTGGTGTCCGAACAGGTCTGTGCAACTCGAGTCGCTGGCACCCGGAGCCTCCAAAGTACTCTTAGAACATGAATGTGACATGACCCTATATCAAAAAACAAGTACCTGGATCAGCCTGGATCTTCCAACTGTGCCAAAGTCTCCAACCTTTTCATCGACACCAGCCCCAAAAGGCTGGAAAAAGCAAACACAGGTTGCATTCGTTTTATGACTTATATATTATATATACTTGAATATAAAATCCAGATACTTGGTACCCCCTGTCCCAGCTACTGACCAAGGCTCCTCGGCTCCCCGTCCGGCCTCGCCCATCCAGGCTGCGTCCCCTCGGCTCGCGAGCGCACCGGCGGCTGCCAGCGCATCTGGCTGATGCGACGGGACGAAGACGGATCGAGTGCTCTGCAGTTTCAGGTGCGAATGGATTTAGGGCATCCCGGTTCTGATATTTATTACTATATAGTATTACTATATATATATATTACTATATAATATTTATATAACAACATTTTTCCGTTCTTGATTTGGCATCCAAAGTTGGTAGATTTTAGTATGAACTCCTGTTCCTCAACCTATTCTGTCAACCTGAAGCATGAATCAAAATTCATCATCATAATAAGAAACAATACAAGAATGGTTCACCCTGCTGCCGCCAGGAATGATGTCTAAGTTTGTCAATTTATCATGTCGCTTCCAGGTACTCTCTGAGTCTCTTCCCCAGTGTTCCTGGAGGTTTTACAGAACAAACCTTCTGTAAGCGCTGATCGCCGGGGCAATGGCCGCTCAGTCTTCCCTGGTCCAACGTGGACAGCCTGTCAGAAACACGGGGCCCATGTGCGGAAGCTGAAGATCTTCAACCTCGGGTCGGCCATTCGGTGTTGCGCTCTGCAGAGGCCCGGGTGTCGAGACCAGGTTTGGCAGGTTTGGTGTAGATGAAGATGAAAGGAAAGGAGGATCTGGACACAGCTACGCACATTCACCATCATTCACCCACTATCACCATCACCCACTTTAACAAAACAAATTCTATGTTCCATATTGGATGCCCGTTTGTTGGAAGTCGCTCGTAGGTTGGAGGCCTGGATGCCGTTTGTTGGTCAACGCCGAGGGTGTGCCGAGACTGCGTGTCTTCTAGGAAACCCGCACCAGAATTCGGGGCGAAGGCCGGTTTCACCGTGTCTCGGCATCGGCGTGCAGCTGTGCCACCAAATGGTTGGCTCCCAGGCCACCGCTTTTCACACCCAAAGCCTCCCGTCTGGTGGGATTGGGGTGTTGCTTCCGCGGAATGTGCTTGGAGCCTCCACCCACCGGGACAGCTCTCCCCAGAAAGGTTTGACCAGAGCTGGTGTGTCACGCGCCCGCGCGATGAGTTCGACCAAGGCACCCAGTCCTGCATCGCCTGCAGGACTTGGGCCTCACAGGCCTGCTCTGCATGACCTTGGCATCTTGGATGATCTCTATCTTGGGTGCATCTGGTCCAGGAGTGGGCCATGTTCCATCATGTTCTGTCTCTACATCAACGACCCTCCACATCAACTACATGGTCGTCTGTGAGTTCACCGGGCTTTTCAACATGTTCAAGTTCACTCGTTTCAAGTGCATCAAGTTTGAAATCCTTTATTTAAAAAAGGAAAAACGATGCCAATACGACATGGGCACACTGAACCAGCACCACCGAACTTTGGGTGGATCCTTTCACCTGACGATGACGATCTATATCTATATTTACTGTATAATTGTAAATCTATATTTTTCGCATTTTTTCGCCATCTTATCGCCATTCATCACCACCGGGTGGTGAGTGATGATGGAACAACGTCCCACCTCCTCGGGAACTGGCCGACCAGGAGGACCAGGAACGACACGTTCACCCTGACTCCCAAGCTGGAGGATCCATGAAATATCCACGTTCACCCTGATTTTTGTGGGGTGGGGGTTGAAAGAGAATCAGAAAGATGGCGACTTCAAGCAAGTATCCACCAAACATACAAAAACTAGGGCAATCTTGTGCACTATTCCCTGTTTAGGTGGTTGTGTAGGTGCTCGTCCGCTCGCGGACGCCTTCTGGGAGTCCAGGCGTAGAGCCTCCAAGTGGCGCAAAGCTGGTCGAAGGACCAAGGCCTCAAAGGGTGCCTCGGGCAGGACGCGTCCGTCCCGAGCCTGATGGGTGTCGGCATGCTGTGAGCTGATGATGGATGGAGGATGACAAGGAGTGGGATTAATGAGAAGGAAGGGATGGGAGGAGATAGGAGGAGGAGCACAGTTCATAATTTAGGAATCAACTTCAAATCCTGAGCCCAGCTAAGAACTGTTTGGCATTAGAACAGTTCTCATGCTCATGCTAACACTCCTTCCGCGTTGGAAAGGGGCCCAAAAGTTACTGAGTACGCAACCCTGATCTTCGCAGAAACAGAATCTGAAGCTACCCCAATGGCCCCAACCACTCCCGGGCCTGGTGTAACCCCTACTGACTCCGAGGCCCCAAGGCATTTCCCTCAAAGGTTTTTTACCAGGACCAGGACCTTCCAACACGTGGTTTTTGGACACCCCTTACCCTCTAGGGGGCTGTTTATACCATTGTATACCCCTCTTGGAGGGCGGATGAGGGCGGTATGTTAACCATGGTTCACCTTTTCCACCTGTTCGTGTTAGGAACCAAACCCCCCAAATGCTTGGGCAGGTGATCCAGGGTGGGAGGACTCTGCACTTCGGTCGGGCGCACCGCACACCGTCTCTTTCGCACACAGCGCGGTGTGAGAGTTTGGGATCGGGCGCCACCCGCTCTTCCGGCTGGCTCTCAGCATGGTGTGGAAGGGTTTATTGTTATTGGATAACTATTGGATAACTATGTGGATTCCAAGCTTGAAGTGGCTTCCATTGCACACGACCCTCTTTCATGGCCATGTCTGGAGACATCTTGGCTTCTTTCATGGCGTGATCTCACCAGCTCCCATTCCAGAACATCTGGGTATAAATTTTGCCAGCAGGCTTTCTGCGACATGCAGAGAAAACCCTTTGCTTTGGAATGTCATCCTTTGATTTTCCAGAACAAGTGCTTGAAAAAACAAAAACAACATAATATAGGGATACATGCAACAAAACCACTGACTATGGAAGATCATGGAAAACATAAAACAACCCATGGAAAAAGAACTGCATGGACCAAAAAAACGATGTTCCTCTAATTTTGAGATGGAATCTTGCTCTTGACTTTCGGATTTGGGTGACTCGTTCTGCACTGGAGCCAAGAGCATCTTGGAGTTCACTGTTTGGACGCCAGTGTGAACATGGCCCAAGCAGGCACTGAATCCTTCGGTTCTTGGCCATCAAAAACCACGAGAAAGCACTCTGTCAAGTCCCTTCTATAGTGAGCCGCATTCTGAATCTACGTGGGGACGTTTTGGAGTTCCCCAGCTGATGCTGAAGGTGCACCTGGAAAGGAAGATACCACCACTCACTGCGTAGAAAATAACTTCCCGTAGGTCAAGGTCTTAAAGATCTTAAAGTGTGAGGTCCAGAGTCTTATGTGTGAGAATACCCTCTGTCTGCCTGCCGCTGCAACTGGCTAAGCATTTCCTTCGCCAAATGGTTTTCAACCGCTTGGCACTTCTTCGCGCCAGCTCCGGAAGCCCGCTCACTTCTCGGGGTACACCGGCTCTCCGGTCTCCGGATCTCGCTTGATGTTCATCCCTGAGAGCGCTTGATGTACGGTAGCCGTGTGTTCTCACTGCCGATCAAGTACAGTCGCCCATATATAGATGGATGATGATGGATGCACATCTCGTGTGCATCCGTTTTCTGCGCATGGGAGGACCCTGGTGTTGAACTCAGCTTGCCTGCTGCCTACCTTTCGTGTCTTTTTCGTCCCTCTGTTCATGTCTTTTACCGATCCTCGCCCGACCCAGCTGGGCGCCTTTGTATGGATCGAAGTCTGGGTTGAAATAATCATCTGCCGTCGTGGGCGGCTTCCTCGGCCGGACGGTCGCGGTCGCGGAGGTGTTCAAACAATCACATCATTTTCCGTGAACGATGGGTGAGTGGGGCATTCTGTAGAGAAAGGATGTCTGTAAAATGGGTGGCACAAATATCACAACATCATCAACACATATAGCATCTCAATGCATACAGTTTTTGTTGCATCAACCATCTGGACGGGACAGTCTTGGATAAGTGAGTCACATCCAAGCATGTCCCAGCATGTCCATTCCTTGGCCACTCGCCTGGCATTCTTTATTAGAAGATGAAGATGCTAAGATGCTCCAACAATGAAACAACCTGTAGCTGGACGTTCAGATTGCGAACTGCAAGTGGTCACGGCAGAAGAGACCTCACAGTGGCTTTGGGGTTGATCTGCCGAGACTTGAAACGCGCCATGAGGCCATGAGCCATATTCACATGCCCAGGGCTCTCTGTGGTCTAATGCCACTCCGACTCCCTACAAGGTTAAGGGATGTCCATGAGCCACCCGTTGTGGGCCTTGTTGAAGGCTTCTTTTCACCTAAGAAAGGCGTAAGCTGCCACGAGCCGAATCGGAACCCCCCCTCGACCGCGCAAGTCGCGTCGTCCTGTCAACCACGTGTCTCTCCCAGGCCACCGCCGAAGGTGTCTTGCCAGGACTGCCAGACCTAGAAATGGCCCGAGCTTTGTGGGAACTTGTTTTAAAAGCAACTCGATGGCCAAAAAACTCCAGCCTGACACATGTTTCATAAGCTCTCATAGTCCCAAAAATGAAACCACATACCTTCTGAAAAGGCGTTTGAGGGCCCAACCAACCTCCCAGGCGCCTGGTTCCCTGAGAGCTTTGTAAAGGCATAGGGGCACAAAGGGTGAAGCTAAGAACTGCACCCAAAGTAAGAGTGAGCAACCAAAGTAAAGCAACCCGCGATAAGCACTGAAACGAAGCTGCCGAGCAAAGGCCGGCAGTCCTACATTACTTATTACATCGCCAATCTATATGCGAATGCATCCATATGCAAGCAATACTTTCAAACAACCCACTCCCCTACGCAAAACCATGCATATGGGCGCCCCAGCTTCAAGCTTAAAAAGAACGGCCTCCATTTGTGTCTATCAGAGTCTATCACTTCTAGTGATCTCCGCCCCTTGCCCACTCTCCCAGAAAAGCTAGGAGGAAACAAATCCTACTCAAACAGAACACCACAAGTCGACTAAAGCCTTATCACTTCCGCACTGTTGCTTCCACTGCCGCACCCCCGTGCCGCGACCGTGCTTCCCCCACCGTGACCGCGAAGAAGATCGATCCAACAGTGGCAAACACATAGTAGGGGGCATCCCCTTGATATTCACCTCATCAGCGAGAAATGGGGCACATGTGAGCTGCGAGACATCGGCATCAGGTGACAAACCAACACCACTGGCGTTCTTTGCAGCCGATGCGACCGCCGTGTTGATCCAAACATTCTAGCTGTTTGTGCACACTTCCACCGTCGCAAGCTCTAGTACAGCGACGTAAAGGCGAGAGGGAGAAAACGAGTGCAACAAAGCCAACCATACTGGAGTTGGAGCAAAGAAAAACCCGGTTCTGGTGGTGGCAGGGGTCGCATCAACCGCCGGAGCCCAAGCTGGGCACGTGGCTGGCCATCGGCCCCCCCCCAAGCGGTCGGATGGCCTCCCGTCCCGGACATCAAGGCGATCGTCGATCCGGCTCACAAGCCCAGGTGAGTGTGCTAGGATGGTTGCCCAAGCTTCTGGAAAAAAAGAATCCTTCTCACTGGATTCAATGACTAGCAACGAAAAGAAGGTCACCATGACATACCATGACCACACTGCTAGCCCCTGCTACCCATGTCGAAGCTATTTCACAAACTTTGTGGCGTTCTTCTTGGAAAAGCCTTGAGAGCTACCTGTATAATTATAGTTTCCGGACTGCCTCCTGAGAGGGCTTCATCCCCCAAACAGGGTCTCATACCCGAAATTGCCCGACTCCACAAGCCACAGGAAAACTCAGTAGCAGCTAAACTGCCTTGGACAATGGATAAATGGGACCTCTACGAGCCGTGTGGTACAGAAAGAGGTGCCTGACAAACCCTGTCCAAGGATTGTGTATGCACAACATGTTGACAAGGGAGCTCTGACGTAGTCCGCCCCCAAAATGGTATTGGAGAATGGTTGGAGGACGGACGATCGCACAAGCAAAGAACCACTTGGTTGGATTCTCTACATCTTCAAATCCAAGTGGCCAAGGTTGATCTTCCTGGGGTCCTCCTCTTCCGTGGCATCTTTCATCATCATCTGAGAGGCCACCGAGGCACGTGCAAGGTTGCACTGAGCATTGAGCTGTGGGGGCAAAAAAAAGTGTTTGCCGGCTCGGTTGCTCGGGACTGCTTGACCGCACCATTATGTAATTATGTAATAGATTCAATGGAACTCTTGACACAACAACTCAACCCCTGGGCACTACTTGACCTCTTATTATGAATGAACCTAGTTGTATAATGGTCTTTGTGTGGTGATTTCGTTTGGCAAGTTTGGGGGCAAGCACCCACGGGAAAATATTGTCATGAACAACAAAATCCAGCATGCACAGCCACAGCACAAAAAAGTAAAAAACGACAGCAGCAGCAGCAGCGGCAGCGGCAGCGGCAACGGCAACGGCAACGGCAACGGCAACCGCAACAGCAAAACCACCATCAAAAAGCAGCGAAACAACCAGGGGTTGCTACCTTCAATTGATGGACATCTTGTGATCCTCTGCTTCAACCACCTCCGAGTGTCATATCTCACCACATGTGGATACATTCTTCAATGAGATCCTGTGGGCTTTCCTTAGCTAGGTGAAGGACGATGATCAATTTAAAGAATCTACGTATGTTTTTCTTGACTTCTTATGGCAGTCTAAGGCACGGTGATCCAATCTTGCTTCTCTTGTGCCCAGGCAGCAGCGGGGGCTAGGCAGGCGGAAGCCTTGGGGCATCGCCGTCACGTATTTCGAGGTCAACTGCATGCAGAACCCGCGGATGAATTTGAGGATGTCCTGAAGTTTCTCCCAAAGCAATTCACCCATCTGAGGAAGCCACAGCGGCCCACGCCGGCCATCTCGCAGGGCCAGGCACGAAAGACAGACTGCAGGAAAGCAACCTGCAGTCAAAACCGTCTGGCAGGACACATTATACAGGATTATTGCAGGTATCTTCAACTTCACATGACCTGGAGTGGTCTTGACCTGTAATGTAGGCTCTTGATTCATAAACCATCCCATGTGGATTGAACAACCTCTTCATGTGGGGGCTTTATATAATCAAGAGTCTACAAGGCACTTCTACTCCCTTTCGCCCCGCCAAACGCCCAGCTTGAGAGAACCAGGTCGGTGGGCCCACTCACCATTTCTCTCTTCAGGATGGACGGAGTTGGTTTTTTCGTTCTGCGGACGAACGTGTTCGGGCCCCCCCAAGTAGATGAACCTCTGAGACGTCTCAGAAACCAAGCCGCATCGCAAGCGAGCTCACCAGTGGAAACTTCACCGATACTACTACCGATACTACCTGGCTCCAGCACCCAAGATCGACCATCAAAGAAACATCCGACATCTATGGACGACGTGCGTGTGGCACGGCGGAGATTCCACAGGCGCGACGCCGAGTCAAGTGGTGCAAGGCGGAGAAATCAACCCATGGCACTTGGCTGCCAAACCGAATGATTGAATGAAAAGACTCTTTTCTTGATGTTCCCTGCATTCACCTGTCACCCTCGATCTGTGCCAGGATTACTCCATTTTCCTCGTCTGTATGTGCAACTGAAGACACAGCTCCAATGTTTTAGTCATGAGATCGAGGCCGAAGTGGTGAAACATGGTGAAACATGTTGAAACTGTCTTGAAATTTGTTGAAAGAATGAAGCAGCACAAGTGTGCCCCGCACTCCTCCAAACTAGCCTAAGAGGCTCAGCCGGATCGAAGCCGAAAAAGGTGACAGGCACCTGACTGTCGTGAAACTCTGAAAAAGACATGAAACAGCGCCATTATGCTCCACCCTCCAACAAACTGCGCAGCACTATGCAAACGCTCGGGCCCACTGTATGCATGGCTATACACAAACGTGGCAGCCATCACACTGAAGACAACAACTGCAACCATTTCCAGTTGGAGGTTCTTCAAAATCTCGTGGCAGGTGGAATTCCCTTCTTGGCAATACCTGCAGGCAAAAAAAATGCAAATATCAACGAACATGGGAGCGCAACAGAACCAAAGAACCATGCCCTCCCTTCCCTCAGCAATCGCCAGGTCTAGTGATGCGTTATCATATCCTGCGTGAGAGGCCGCTATATCAAGGAAAGCCCAAAGTATGGGACTTGCCACGGAAAGGCTCCACCCTCGCGTAAAGGTGCGGTCATGCAGTCCTGCAACTATCGTCACCAAGACCTCCGACCGAACGTAGTCTTCAAAGGCCTCTTCACTGCCAAACCAAATGGACACACATTCCTTCACAATTTCTCTGTCGCACATCATGTGAGCTCCTCTTTGCACATGGCCGCAGTCGCAACAAGAGCATCTGGTCTCGTCAAAGCTGATCTCGCTCAAGTCCTTTTTCAATTTCTCCACGGAGCGGAAGTATGCCCTAAAGGCAGCTGCTATGACATAGCCACTGATGAAAAGGAGGAGAAAGGTACCTGAAAGTGGGACAAGAATAAAATACCTTCCCCAGCTCGTGTGCTCTCGCATTGGCACCGTGGTAGCAGGCAGCATCACCAGGAACACACCGATGAAAAGGCCGATCGAGCATGGCCCAAGGAATGTGGGTAAGATGATGATGACCTGTTCACTGGTCGCTTTGCTCTTCAGAAAGGCAGCTAGCTCGAATACACACCACAAGCGATCGCTCCACGTTGGGTCCCACAGCACGAGCATTTGGTCTGACTTTTTCAAGATGCCTGCCAAACTAAAAATGCTGGCTGCCTTCAAGCCAACATTGTTCGCACTGATGCAAACCCGGTCAAGAAAGACCAGTTGCCGTGGCCGCCAAAGAAAAAATGTAATCACTGCTCCTGCAAAGCCACCTGCTAGTGACCAGGTTGACCACCGCGGATCATTGTCATCCAGGCGACTCAAGCCAGGCAAGAGGCCGCAGCTGAACAAAACGATCATGGTCAAGGCAGTGAAAGAACCTATGATGGCTGATGGTAGCCCATTATAGCGCAGCATGAGGGAGAAAATCTTCATCCAGCGCCGGCCATGCCAGGAATGAGACCAAAAGCAGGATATCTTTGCACTCGCAAAACTCTCTCCAAAAAAGTAATTATCATCAGTCCATGATCGCAGTGCTCTTCCACAGCGCCCGAGGGCTTTGTGGGCCCGAGTCACTCTCATCACTTCGGGCCTCAAGACCTCCATTCGCGCCACGTAGGTCGCCACCTAGCAGCTCCAAAACCGAACCCCAATTAACCGGAAGGTCCCAAATCACCTTCCTCCCCCCCAAAAAAAGAGTTGTGATTTTTGTGTTTTTTCCGTGAGTGTTGGGACCCAGGACCTCCCGCTGTGCTTCTCGAACTTCTGCGCGCTCCTCTCCGCTCGACTCCTCCTCCTCCGTCCACTCCCTCCCCAGCACTTGAGGCATGGCATGCCACCCGCCGTGCCGAACGGGAAACGGTCGTGTTAGAAGCAAATGGCGTCGAGTCGAGTTGGATGATTTCTGTTACGTTGGATGCCTCTACATGGATGACTTCTGTAACCGTGATTGCTGTACACTGTACATGACATGTTCTTCACTGCATCACCCAAGTCGTGGCGGTTCTTCGCTTCTTGTTCCAGGCTGCTCAAGCATAATCAAACAAACCCAGCCCACGCCGTTGATCGGAGTTGGGAGACCCCCCCTTCTTCAAGAGCGATGGTCTGGGTATCTGCACCAGCCGACAATAGGAAGAACAGACCCACCAATGAGACGGATTCTTTTTTCGCATACAAGTACGTAGCCTACTCCGAACATGATGTCCAAAATCAGTTGCTACTATAATAGCTATAACTTACTATACTGTTGCTGTTCCAATTGCGCTGCTTTCTGACATGAACGCACCACATGGCCCACAGTGCAGCTGCCGGCGACATCTTTTTTCCGAGCGATGCCCAGCCACTGAGCGGCCCTCAAAACTTCGCACAAAAATCGATTGCGCCAGACCCCCAAAAATCTCCAATACGGCTCCGCGGCTCCGGGAATTCACATTTGGCGGAGTCCCGGAGGCTGCTGTGACCCATGCACATGACCCATGTTCCGGCCATCGCACCACAGCCAACCGCCACTGAGTTTCACTATAGTACTTTAAATGCTGATGTGTTGCCCCAAGAAAAGTCAAAGTAAAGAAGCCCTCCCAGCCCTCCCCTCACCCCTCCCCCCACTGCTGCCCAAAAGCAGCACGACGATCGCAGAGCCCAAGCACGAGCGCCGTGCCATGACGGTCTCCACCGCGCCGAGCGCTGCCACCCCGCCGAGCGCTACTAGCAAGCGCTTGGGCCGTGGACACCGGTCTGGGTGGAATGTCTCAAAGGGTCGATCATGCCACGATTTGTTCGTGGACTTGGTGGTTCACGAGTATGGGAGGTCAATCGCTCTTTTGGGGGGGCCATTCCATACGGTGGGGGGGCCTCTCAGCTCGGATCGGTGGGGATCGGGTTTCGGCCTTG